TGACAAGAAAAGGCACTGATACCTCTCCTGGTAATGTTCATCACACTTGTAAAAGAACAGTGATAAAAAGCCAACATGTGTGCTCCTTTGTGTAGAAATTTATGTACAGAAACATCTATCTGCATAGATAATTCCTTTCCCCTTCAATTACAGTGCCTATTAAAAGCAAATTCCAGGGCTCAGGCTCTTCAGAATACAAATGTATCAAACCGATATGATTAATGATGAGTTAATCAGTCTGTTTAAGTAAACAGAAAAGATGCAAGCCTTTCTACACCTGTGCATACCCTGGTGGGTAGTATATTTGGGAAACAGTGCTTTTAAAAAGCAGCAAATGCAGTTTGAAATTATTTTCTTTGCACAGTGTTGAATGGAAAATAACTGCTCAGAATCTATCCCTATGTTAAGCAGAGAATGTGCAATATTATCTAAGAAAAGTATGAATTTGGTTTAGCGTGCATGATTTTTCAGTTCTGTGCACACATTCAGTGTGGTTACATTTTTGCTCAGGACACGTGCATTCTTTTTTCCCTCAACTTTTCTCGATTGCTTTTTTTATCAGGTTTACAAATCAAATCAAAGAGGTATATTGCAGAGCTCTCTGATATTATTTTTTGCGATTATAGCACAATGTATTGAATTATGCTTGCTCATGTACTGCCGCCGCTATTCTCTCCAGATTGAGAGAGAATGACTGTGGGGGCTGTAAATTCACTTGGCTTCCAGCACCACTGGTTAAATCAAGAGCCCTATTCAAGCTAGAGAAGAGACAGAGCAAGTGTTCATTACACAAATCAATTTGGTCAAAAGTACAGCACAGTGGGTACTCAACCATTGCTCACATAATATTGTCAGCTTAATCAAATAATGCCTAGAAGACATTCACAAGCTCTTTCTTGCTGAGAAATAACTTGATTGGTATAGCAGGAAAAAAATGTGGCTTTTCAAATAAGCATTTTTTTCATTTAAAACTCTTAAGAGCATTATCCATATATTGTACATGAAACGCATCAAACACAGCATATTATTAAGTTTGCCATTGAGTAGATTCTTTTAAAATAACCAATTGGTTTTTTTGTCTCTTTTTTATCCCTCCTGTAAATAGGCAATCTGACTGTACGTCAATTTAGGCTGTTTTCCCTCTAAACTTGGAGTGCTTAAAGTATGTAACTGTTCCATGTTTTCCCACAGATTATTGATGAATAATCAAGACCAGGTGAAGTTTTTCCAGTTACCCTAATCCAACATATTCTCTATTTGACCAGGAAGAGGTTTAGGCCAATGTTATCCCCGTTGCTTGTGTCAACTTGCTCCTAACCAGCTTGCACTGATGCCAGAATTCATTTCTTAGTGGCACGCCAACAGCTATGGTATGACAGCGTATCATTGCCTTTAAAATGGAGTTGGAGGGTAAAGGTTTCAATGTTGTCCACACCACCATAGTGTTGCAGCAAATGAACAAGATTAGGTAGCTAGGTGTACTTGAGTGAAAAGGAACAGAGAGAAAACAGAACACTGTCTGAGGAAACACTACTGGAACTGACTGTTCCAGTTTAAGAAAGACTGAAGATTAAGAAAGACTGTATTTTCCATAAAGGATGGAAAGAGATAGGGAAAGTGTGTTTTCCCTGGGAAGGAGGATGGGATTGTTTTTTCTGATCAAGTACAGTATGCGTAGCCCTTTCAGAATTAAGGATAACTGAATGTTTTATTCATATGGTGTCTTTGCCACAAATATTAGACAGATACCACTAGGCCATTTTGGGAGCAACTTGGGACTTAGGTGTATGGTAGAGATGGATGAGAGATTTAAGCATATATTTCTTGCCCCTGTAAAAGAGTTCTGGGTGGAATATTACCAAATTTGGATCAGTAACAAAGGCAGTCTTTCACCTTAAAAAAAGGGAATGAAAATTTCTCCAAAGAAGAAATTTATCCAAAATCAGCATCTTGTTTTTCAGTTTTATTCACAGAGATGTGCATATATTGGATGAGATTGGGTAGGGGTCAAGTGACGAGTATAATCAAAGCAAACCATCAAAAAATAATAATAGCATGGCACTGGGTCATAAAATAGAGAGGAATACTTGTGCTCTGAAATGATAAATTAAAATTGACATATGAAGACGCATTTCATGATAGAAATGTAAGCATGCCTCACACAATTTTCTCCAAATGATTTTCTTTGAATGTTGTCCATACCTAAATTAAATTTCACCAAGATTAAACTTGTTTAGCTCAGATATATCGATTGAGTTAGAAATTATTATGGAAAATTGAGCATCTCAATTGTGTATGAAATACTTCTAAATGCAATCAACAGTTCTTAAGAGATTCAAGTTTCAGCAACTTATTTTAACATTTATGACATATAATAGTGCTGAAAACCTGCAATTGTGTGCAATTGTATACTAATAAATATCCATAGTAAATATTTTTTTTTACATAAATAAGATTTTGTACGTGTGTCCGCAATTTCATAGTCCATGGGATGCCAAAGTGTTCATTCTGTAGTTCTCTCTAGGCAGTACTCATCAATAATCTGCTAAAATATGTAACTGTTTATTAGGATTTTTAAATTAGAAATGCATTCCCAGTGGAACCAGAGAAACGCCGTGCAGCAAATGAGTGGAAATGACCTTTCAGTGAAGATGACAAATGACATCTTAAACCTCAGAGCTGAAACCTAACCTGATACAGTCCTGACTGACGTGCATAGGAAAAAGCCAATCTGCAGTAATTTTCAAGGGTGGCTGAGAACCTGCAGTTACCATTGATTTCTTTAGGCACTGAGAGTCTGTATCATCTGTGCTTTCAGCCCCCAGTACATTAGTCACTGACTACTTGGTTTACCTGTTTAAAAGAAAAACGTCTTTTAAAACGATTTGAACTGTCACACATTGGATTTTTTTTAATCCTTGACAGTTATGAATCATGACACAGGACTCAGGAGACCTGGCGACGATTGGGAACTTTGCAGTCTCATTTGAATTTGATGATACCTCAGACTTTGAAAATGGAAGGAGGCAGACTGTTTGGGGGTATTTAAGGATGCTGTATAATATTCTATGTGCAAACTGTGTTCATGTGGCCAGCGTGTCCACATTACCCTACTGTGACCAATTACATCATAAGGGATGGGCCTAAGGTGCCATGAATAGTTCAAAATCTCATCTCATCATGAAAATTAATTCTTGGAAAAAGCATAGGTTACAGAAAATAAGGATGTTTATCTTGATTAAGAAGAGCAAAAGGGAATTGTGTCCTGACAACTTAAGGGGAGCTGTATCTAAGGTCGCAGTTGAGGTAGGATGGAGACCCTGAAAAGCCTCTAACGGGGTAACAGTAACAAGGGAGTCGTCCAAAGATGTTTTCTTTTACTTCTACAAAGGCCTTGTGGACAACAGAAAAACCTTGGATATTGTAGTTCACCTTTAATAAAGCTTTGATTTTTACACACTGGGAACAAGGCCTGGCCCTGTGCAGATTTTATTTTTATATTGGGTGGCTTTCACCACTGATTATACTTTTGTTCCCTTTCACAACTCAAGGCCTTTTCCATAATGGTGACCATTTATGTAGAGAAAGTGACCCTCTATTACCCATTAGCACCGCTTATGAAACGGCAACCAGGATGTGATGTGTTAGCCGCCTCCTGTGCAGAGGGCCCTGTGGCCTCTGGCTGGAAGTACTCATCTTGCATGAGAACGTTGTAAAATGCTGCAGTTTGAAAGCCCTCGAGGCGGTGGGGGGAAGGAGATATCAGTCCGTCAACTGTAGGTCCGATCATCCCCCCCAAACAAGTAGTTATGTTCACAGACAGCATGATTTATTCAAATATAACATTTGCAAAGCAGGTTTTGGATGTCAGTACAGGAAATTCTCTACTAGAGCGTGGGGTTTTAGCTAGCCCTGATGTACAAATGTGCAATCATCACTCACCCCAGAAGATGGGAGAGGTCTCTCAGTCTCGAGTCTCCTCAGGCAGCGCGTCAGTCCGAGGGGAGGAAAGAGGGATCAGCCCGTCAACTGACCCAAGAGTTACGATGAATTCTTCCTTCCTCCTGAGTTCACCTTTTATGCTTTTCTTTACATTCAGATGGAGCTTGAGTGACTGTAGTCATACTTAATATTGTTATTGATTGGTGAAAAAGTTTCACGCTTTCATTTAAAGGTTTAGTCAATCGAAAATCTAGAGCGCATGCTCGGTGAGGAGCGGTCCTACCTCGAAGGCGGGTAACTTTTGGGATGGAGGTGTGTTTTGACATTATAATGACCTTATAATGAGCAAAGTTCATCCAAAAGGAGTGATTTGGCACCCTTGCCAGCTCAGCACTGGACATGTTATCGCATATCCCCCACTGGACAGCCACTGTGCGGCTTATCAGAGTGCAGCAGAGTTTGGCCGCGGTGTCCTCCGTTACTCCTCTTTGCAGCTGCGAGGAGGACAGATTGTGCTGCCTAGGGAACCCTGGAGGAGCAGAGTCCCTGCATACCAACCATCCTGCAAGTGACAACTGCGTATCACCCCAAGCAAGCTTCTGTAATGCCAGAACTTCCGTTAGGCCCCAGTTTTTCTCTAAGTTTCTCCTCTCCAAGCAATTCTTCCACAAACGTATAGATTGCTGCCGCGGGTAGGCTCTTATCTGGACAAGGAGATTCAGTTTCTTTTATTCACAAAATCTGATATAAGATTAAAGAGGTTCCAACACTCTTAAAATACAGAGAGGTGATTTATTCCTTATTTAAAGTCTTGAATGCTAAGAAAATCTACACTGAAAATAATCCTTGGATGCACCTGGTTTGTTCCAATGTTCCAAATGCATACCAAAAAAAAAAAAACAAAAAAAAACCAAGAATTTTATCTGTTTCAGCTTCTTACAGTAACTTTAAGTATTTTTTACTCCTTTGCATTATTATTTGAGAAAACACCCCAACTTTATTTAAATTAAAAATATACAGAATAATGTAGTGTGCTTTATTTTGTTTTACCCCTTTAGCAGACAGATGATGCAGCACAGACCGATGGCCAGCAACAGACACAATCCTCTGAAAACACAGAAAACAAATCACAGCCAAAACGGCTGCACGTCTCAAATATACCATTCCGATTCCGGGATCCAGATCTTAGACAAATGTTTGGTGTAAGTACTTATTTCTGTGTATTTTTTGTATTTACATTGTAATGTTATGCTATAGGCAACATTGATAGCAGGATCTGTGAGTTATGCTACTTAAGCATTTTCAGTGAAGATCCTGTTTTCAGTTATTTATAAGCAAATGCCTGATTTGCCCCTCATTTGAGAAAAAACAAAGCTACTCTGTTGTTCTATAGGTGTGTATATTCCATATACCATGTTGTTTTGCATTTTATTAAAAGCAGCTACCTGCACTGGCTTACAATACTCAATGCATGTAAGTTCCTGATGCATATATCTGGAATTACTTGTTTTGGAGAGCTTGATGCAAAAGCAGAGAGTGTTTGACCTCATGAGCAGGAAACCCATCTCACAGAAGTGAGACATGGGCTGCATTTAAGCATTTGAAAATCCAGAAGTAGGACTGCTCCCCTATTTCCAATGGTATTAACAGACTTCTGTAGGCTTCTGAAGTTTTTGCCAGTGTATCAATTTTTGGTTTTGCTCGGGCCATTAGCTGCCTTCATGTGCACTGGCTGCATTTCATAAGCATCATATGTGTCATCATATTAAAAGATGAGGCCCGGTTTTCTCTCTCCCCTCCAAGAACGTTTGGGTTTATTTTGAAAAGTCTCTCAAAATAATCTAGAAATACTTCTTTGATCTGCTTTTAGATTCACCTTTTATTTTCCACGTTTTCCACGATTCATGGTTCTCCTGCTTACTTTTTCAGTTCTCTTCTGGAAAATGTTATAGTTTTACAAAATGCTCTATGAAATATTCCATGCCACCATCCTGCTTTAGACATCCTCTCATGTTTGGTTCATATTTTAAAAGTCTTTTTAGTATAATTGTACTCAGATTAAAATATTTTGATTTTTTTTGTATTAATTTGTATGAAAAAAGGAAATGATCACTGGGAAAAGAATCTGGTATGATGGTAGGAGACAAGGGTCACTGTGCTTTACTGTATCTGACTTTCTGTAAGTAACACCCTTTGAATGCCCATAGGTTATGACTCATCAACTAAATAGCAGAAGACATAATAATTGACTGTGTAGAGAAAAACTGGCAAATTTATTTAAATTGAACAAAGCACTCTAAAAAGATAGATTTCATCTGGAAGTATGTTAAATGAAAGGGCTTTTTTTTTTTTTTTTTTTTTGGTAGGGCTTGTAACAATTCGTGAATGAATAAAGGCTGTATTTTTTCAGTATTCCTGTGTCTTAGATCTCAAAAGACCATAAAACTGTTAGATAGCTAGAGTTCTGCAGTTTAAGAATAACTTGGTAACAATAAACTTTTAGCTTCTGAATTGATAGATGAAAAAATATGCAAGTGTGAATTTAATTAAACTTACAAAATGAAATACAATAGTGCTACATCTTGACTATGTATCTGCCTATGGCAGATGATGAGTACAGCAGAGGAGGATTGTGTCAACTTTCAGTCAGTGTCTGCTTATAAGCTAAAATAACACTTAAAACAGTAGCTAATTAGATGGTAAATGTGACAAAATAAGCCAAGAAATAGCAAATAGTGGTTGATTTTCATAACCAAGTTGAAATGCTTTAAATAAGCTAGAGAAATAATGCTGTCTTTTTGTCCTGTAATTGCTTATTTTATATCCTAAAAGATTCAAGTGAAGGCTAATTTTTGCAATTTCTTGTACTATTGATGGATTATTCTTCATTTATCTGAATTTAAGTTTGTCTTTTTAGTTTAACAGACTTTGTCACTTCTTAGTGCTGCCCTGCTCTTTACAACGTACTAATGACACATGTAATAATAAAATATACAAAATGATATATTAAAATGTCAAATTAAAATACGCCATCTCAAAAAGTGCTCTATCCAAATGTTGCCCAAGCTAAACATTTATTCTCTTACTAAGACCAGTCTAATAGAGCCTTTTTCTTTGGAACAGGGGCTATGGTCCATTTTTGAGTGGATGATCCTAGAGATTGAGAGTGCTATTGTAATATGAATAGTAAGAGTATTTAAAACAAGGAACCTTTCTAGTTTCCAACATTGCATTTTAGGAAGACAAGAATTGGTCAGGGGATAGTGGATGTTCCTTTTCCGCTCTGCCTTGGTGGTAGAACCCATAAACAGTTATGGATGTAATCCGTAAGGAGAGAACCTCTTTAAGGGGGGCAAGAGCTCCTTGCTCCCTTGAAGCCAGTGACAAAACTCTCACTTGGTTTGATCTTACTTCTGTAGAGCTGAAGTAGCTTATTTACCTGCCCTTGGAAACAACTGCAAAAAGTCCTCAGAAACTAAGGTTCTTCAGTAGGAAGGGTGACTGATGGGTGACAGTGTTCATGCAGCAGTTAATTCTTTCTCATTAGTGATGTTTGCTACACTTTAAGTGAATTAACCCAATAGCATATTAGATGTGGAAAAAAAATGGTGATAGAAGCTGGACTTGGATTGCCAGGAAGTGACCTACAATCTGCAAAGACTAAATAGAATAAGAAAATTGGGACTCTCACTTGACTATGTTCACAGCTAATGACTTCGTTGATGTTATTACTGAATTTAAATGCAGAAATCAATGTGAAATGACAGTTACAGATTTAAGGATGTGTCCAATTTAATTGTAATAATGATTTGGTTACTCTTTTGGTTTGTCTTTTCGGGTGCTTGACTTTATTTTATGGTGCATCAATTTCTAAAACAAGCATTTGTACTAAAGATGTCAGAAGTGTTGAAGTTATCTTATTTTCATGTAAATTTTCTATTTCTTTGCAGCAATTTGGTAAAATCTTAGATGTTGAAATTATTTTTAATGAGCGAGGCTCAAAGGTAAGCAGTTTAATTCAACAAAGGAATGTGATAATTTGTTTAAAATATTTCATATGAGAAAAAGAAAAAAAAAACTGCACTGCTGTAACAAATACATCTCAGGTTCTCCTCTACTGGAAACACCTTTAGAGCTTTCTGTGGGTTTCCTAGGCATCATGAAAGTCATTGGACTCATTTTATATCTTTTAAAGGGGTAATTTGAACTACTCCAAAGTGTCACATGATTTGTGGGAGCATTGCTTTCTTTATTCTTTCTTTATTCTTCAAAAATAATTACCTTGTTTATTTTATAAGATGAGTCCATACTTACAGATATCTGTAGGCAGATCTTCAATTAGTACAGGTATTTTTTCTGCATTGAAACGAAAGATACTAATGACACCTAATAACTATCCTCTTCAGTAATTAGCTGAGAAAATATGAGATTGTTCCTGATTATTTAAATGCAGGTGTTTTCCTCTTTAACTGAAGCTTCAGTACACCAACCCTTTGAATACAACCTATTTTAACACTTGATTAAAAGAGTTCTTTCTGTATTGCAAACATTTAATTTTTTCCTGAAAATTACTGTGCTTTAAATGCGTACTTGGATTTATTGAGTATTTAAGAAGTAAGCAAGCTAGAACAGCTATGCCTGCATTAGCAGCATTTACTGGTGCAAAACGGGTCACCTTCCCCAGGGGCTTCACCTCTGACACCAGCTGCATTATAAGCATCTGTGCATATGTCATGTGCATGGGGTGTCCTTTCCCTCTTCATCCCCTGTTAGACACACTATAATGTTTCTCCACTTATGCATCAGTCTTGTTGCAACTCTTACACTTCATTTATTGTTAATGATAAAGTTCTTTTCCTGTTATACATCTTTTAAGCAGAAGCAGATACATCATAATACTCTGGTATCAGATAAGTTTTAATTGTTCTGCTAATCTTCCTCTTAATGTGTTAAAATAAATTTCAAATTTAAAGACATTAACTTTTTCTCATATAGAATCACTCAAGTGTCGTAGTTTATTTCTAAAATTCTTCTGAGGTTCATTAATTGGTGTTCCCTGATGGCTCACCTCCAGTTTCAATGCTCAATGCTTTCTTAGTAAAACAGCTGATGTGGACAGTTTGGTGTGGAACGGAAAATGGAATTGTGGATTTTAAAAATCATAAGCTTGCAGCACTGATATAAATGTAAAAAATTTGCTAAAGGGATACTTTCCAGTAAAAATAAGTTTCACACAAAAACAGAAGTTTCATACCAAGAATTCTGCTTGTTTAAAGGCCTAACACAGTCACTGCTGATTTATAGATATTCTAATATTAAAGGTAACTAGGTAACTTTGCTGGAATAATGTTCCTCTTGGAACTGTTCTTTCCATGGTAGTCTAGGTCTTTTTTGCAACCTGTGTCAAATAACTGAAGATTACCTTACCCAATTTACAGAATTTATTGATTAAACGATTAAAAGACCTGCTGGTAATGCTGCTAACAAGCATAGATTGAGACGGAAATTGAGCCTCTTTCTTTCTGTGTGTAGCAACTGCACGGGCTTTTAGGACAAAGCCAACCAGAAGATGTGGAAAGGCTGTTAAAGGTTAAAATAGGGTGACTTGGTGCTGCTTCAGCAGCTGCTGTTTTTTTTTAGAAATTACCACAACCAACTTCTATTTTGTTACCCCGGAGAAGTTTGTGACTCCAAGGTGGCAAACTCGGAAATATAAATACCTGTACAGCTGCGTATTTCATATATACTAGCCTAAATATATATTTGTATGCCCTGTGTTCAATATACATTATTTTTGAGATCTATTTAATCAAATAACAAAGCTTCCAATTTTTCCAACCTGCAAGCTTCCTGTTATTAAATAATTTGACAGAAGCACTGTAGGAGTCAAGGTAGCTGTTGAATCAACAGCATGTAAAATACAGTTTGTTTTAGTGTAGATATCTCTAGTTAAATGTGTGATGAACAAGCCTATGTTCTGTGACTGCTTCGGTGTTAGGTAAACTTAGACATTGACATAAACAAGATCTTCATTTAAGTAGCATTAATTATGGAAATAAGTAAAACATAATAAAAAAATGACAATGGGATTTCTGTTCAGAATCTTGGAAGTTCCTTTCTTATCTTGGCTTGTGGTCTACTTCATATCTTTTTCTAATTTTTAAAATAGAATTAGGTTTTTATCTTTCACTTCAATTTTTTGAAGAAAAACTAGCTTGCAGTGCTCTGAGCAAATAAGACTTGATTCATATTTGGACTAAAAAAGCTCCCACGAAATTTTCATTTCTTACGGTACTGCGAAGGGGTCGGTTGCTCAGCAGTGAGGAGGGAGGCCAGCGAACAGGCTGGGGGGAATTTGTGCTCTTGTGAGCCAAGGGTCACTGGATCGATCGCTGCAGTGATGGTTTCTGCTGCCTAGTGGCATCTTAAATTACGAGCCTTTTTACAGAGCTATTTAAAAATGGGGAGGGGTGAGGAAGCAATGAAAAGGGAAATAAAAGTTTAAAGTGAGAGTGTTGTATAAAGAAGGCCAGGGCAGTCCTTTAAAATGGAGGGATTCATATTGAAAGAGGGAATTTACTTTCTCTGGCAGGTTCTCTGAGCCATGGGGAAAGGAGAATTACGTGCTCAGGTTGCATGGGGCTGTGGAGGGACGAGGTGGGAAAATGGGAGTCAGGTTGTCTGGAAAGGGTCTCGGCTCCAAGTAGAAGTGCTGGCGGAGCAGTTTTTGAGCTCAGGGTTTAGCAGGAATTTAAAAGAAAAAATAAAAAAAGCATCACAGAGTAGATTTAAACAAAATACTTTGAAGAGGATGGAAAACAAACCACAACTATATAAAAAAATTTCTCTGTTATAAACCAAAACAATAAATACATTCTTTAAACAGGTAAATAACCTGAATAACCTGTGCTTTAAAGCTCAAAGTAGTTTCTCAACATTTCTTTTGTCTGTGAATTCCTTTTGTGGTTGGTATCGATGGTTATTTTCAGTGCTTGTGATAGTGCTGTTGCCTTAGTTTCTTTTCCCTCACCCCTGATCCTGGGGAGGGGGCGGGGGGTGGAAAAGTAGGGGAAAAAAAAAAAAAAGCGTGTTTTTAATGGGCTTTGAGTCACTTTTTGTGTGTGTGTGTGTGTCACTGTATGCATGCATCTTGTATACACCGAATACCCCATATGCACAGTAGGCAGAACAGCAGAGAGTAGATGGGAGAACTGATTGATTCCTGAACACAAAATTAAATGAAGGAACTTGAAAGTCAGGAGAGGAGACGGAGGGCTGAAGGCTGCAGCGGGACGTCAGAGATGTGCGGCACTGGCTGCCCCTTTCAGAAGTGCCGGGTGTGATCTGGAAATGTTCCTCGTCCCGAAGCACCAAGGGCCAATGAGACCCTCTCGCTGGGGTAAATTCAGAGAGCGTCCGAAGGCGACGCACTGGCGCCGTCAGAGCCGTTTCAAAGGGTTGGTGTATGCTTTTGAACTGCTCCTTCAGTGTTTGGCTTTTAAAAAAGTTACAAGCAGTGTCTAATGTAGCACACTTAAAATGGATGTGAGTAAGGCTAGAACAGGTAGTTTCGCCTAATGTTGTAAAGTGTTTGACACAGTCAGAATTTCGCATTAGTCAAGTGTTTTCCTGCCCTGCTAGCATGGGAATTAGGCGTTTTAGCAGTTGCATGTTCTGTATGTGAAAAGTAATGTATGGAATTAATAAATGAACCAGTTAAACTTACTCAAAATGTTTGCATTTTTATTCCTTTGAGTTTCTTTTTCTATTCACATCATGTGATTTTATTTGATCTGTTAATACAAGAAAGTTTATACTTAGTTCTAAAAGTGCTTTTGTTTTGTTGGTGGTTTTATTTTCTTTCTTTTTTCTTTTATATAAAATAAGTAAAGGCTGTATAGTTTGACGAAAGTTTAAGTTACCCTAGTGTTGCATGGGAACAATGTTTCTTATGATCACAAGAGCATGATTAAGTAGGCAATGTTTTAGAGTATATTGACATTCAGTGTTGAATTTTGTGCACATGTTTCTTTTATTTTCTTGAGATATTTGCATGTCATTATAATGTGGTTCATTTTCTTTTCACATTATTTCATTTTTTTCTATGTGAAGACACTGTAATTTATTTTAATTTCATTTTCTTATTGTTAGATTTATTTTCCTCTGTAGTGACATGTAGAAAGGTATTTTTGGTATCATTCTTTGAATTCTTTGAGGGTATTATCTAACTGATGAAAGAGAGAAAAAAAATTTGTTCACATTTGTCGCTAATTTATTGCACATCTCAATACAATTATAATTTTTCTAATTTGCATGTTACAGAAATGAAGCGAGGACAAGAAAATATTAAATTAAAGCGAGAGAACATAAGCAAACAAGTGGTCGTTGACTGAAATAATAATGTGCATGTTGTTTTCCCCCCTTCTCCCTCCTGCATGCAGGGATTTGGTTTCGTAACTTTCGAAAATAGTGCTGATGCGGACAGGGCGAGGGAGAAATTACACGGCACCGTGGTAGAGGGCCGTAAAATCGAGGTGCATGTTCAAAATATTTTCCTTTTCATCTTTTTTATAAATGTCTGCTTCACTCTCATTTGTTGTTTCAGATGCATCATTGGTGTCTTCTGTGTGCTCCCCTTTCCCCTTCCCATTGTTTATATATATATACTTATATATAACGAGAGAGAATCTGGCCTTACTTGGGTTTTTTATTTTTATTTCTTTTGTAATTATTATTACTATTATTATCATTATTGCAGAAAGGTGGATGACAGATTGGAAAAAAAAACTTGAATATTTTGAAGTTATTATTTTGAGTGTTTTGTAAATCAATGGGTGCAGTAGATTCCAAAAAACAGCCAACAAAAAATTTAAAAAAATTGAGAAAAACAAGAAAAAAGTGTGACAGACAAAACACAAACAAAAGGTTGTTTTTTGTTCCTTTTTTGTTCTTTTTTGTTGTTCTTTTTGTTGTTCTTTCTTTTTTTTTCTTTTTTCTTTTTTTTTTTTTCTTTTTTTTTTTCCTGCAGGGTTGATGCGGGATCCACAGTGGCTTTCAAAAAATTCAGATTGGGAAAGAAGCATCCAAAAGATGTACCAGAAAAAAAGAACCAAAGCCAGCCTAGAGGCCGCCCAATTTTAGCATTGCATTTTTAACATAACCATGAGGCTTCTTTGGCCACATGGCCTGAGCCATTGGTGCCTATTCCAAAATGAGCACAAATGCCTTTTAGTACCACTGGATCCCCTTCAATACTGCCTCGGTTGTATTTGTTAGAATAAAAAAAATACCAATTGAAAATGCTGTCGTCTTTTGAGTAAGATGTTGCATATTTTGCCTTTTCATTTTCCCCCTTCGACGGTAGCGCTTAGGGCCCTCACCAAACTCTCAGTAACCATGGTAACTGTATACATACCCATGCTGGCGATGGTGCTGAATGGTAAGTGGAGAAGTCCATCTGCCGTTTCACGTATTTAGCGCTGATATACCACGTGAATTTTTTTGACTTGTTGTATTAAGTTTTCTTGATGCTACATTTTTTTCTATATTGGTACGCCTGTAATTGAGTGTACGTTTTAAGCAAGCCTGGGAGGCACTGATTGGATTGAGGATATGACTTCGTGCACATCTTACTCAGATTGTTAACTCCATATTGTGTTAAATAATGCACCCTCTTTTTATCCTTTTGTTAGCTGTGATTTTAAAGCTTGAATGATTTTGTTAATTCTTGCAATGAAAAAGGCTCTTGTTCCAAGTGTTGAATGCTAGATGTTGCTTTTCCAATGGTACTTCTCTTCTAAAGGGTTATGTTGCACACTGCTAAAATTCGTTTGTCCCTTTTTTTGACATTTTCTTTGTTTCCTTGTACCTTGTCTCTTTCCCCTCTACTCCACTGCATGTTCCTTCATATAAAGTTTATTTTTTTTCAGTTTTGAATATTTATTGTATCAGTGTTATCATGGAATACAAGCATGCTCTTAAGTCTTAAATTCTGCAGTACCTTTTAATTTGCTTTTAATGTCTTTTTATTAAAGTTTAAATGATATGATGTTGCTTTATTGAAATGATTTGTAAGTTAAAATGGTTATGAAAGTAAATGTAATTATAAATAGTATGATTTTGTTATGCACCTGTTGCCTTCTATAAATTAAATTGCATTTTATTTTTTACATGACTAATAGCAGTAATAATGCATGCATTTAATACTACCACGGACCCTCCCTGTAACCCTTTCTAATTCAGTGTTCTATGTGCTTAGGTAAATAATGCAACAGCACGTGTAATGACAAATAAAAAGACGGTCAACCCTTACACGAATGGTAAGTGCATGCGATCTCAGCACCTTGTTTTGCTGTCCCTGCATGTGCAGACTCATCCCCGTGCCTCGCGGGAGCGCTCTCCGTGCGATCAAGTGTCCTAGTCCTGCGTCTCTCCTCGGGCTCAGGCTGTCCAGGGATCCCCTTTGGAAACTTGTTGCAGATGGGCAACCTCTTTGCCCAACAGGTTTTCTGCTGTGCGTGCAGCATTCTGCTAGATGGGAATCTGAGTGTTTAACCTCAGGGGCTTTTGGCTAGGAAAATACACGTGGTAGGAAAGCACAGCTCTCGTCCAGCCACATGCAGTGTTAATGATGCGATGGATGAGCTAATCATAGGATTCAGTTTTCCTTGGCCAGTGAGGCCAGTGTAAGGAGGCCAGGTAAGGAGAGGAATGTCTCTGTCAGCCATGAGATACTTTTTAGTACTGAGACATCTAGTATTTTGTCTTACTAGATTATTTTCTGCATTGTTCTTCTGCAATTTGCTAAGGGTAAATGGCAAACTGTAACTGGGTGTTGTTTCCTTCCCCCTCCCCACCCCCATGGAGAATTTAAATCCCAAGTTTCTTAAAAGCTCTAATTCTAGTGTTGACCTAGCTATCACTATAAAGTTATACAATAATGATAGGAGGTCATCTATAGATATCTGAGAGGTTTGGAGGCAATCAGTTTTAAAAATATTTCCCTTGGCAGTGTTTAATTACTTGTTCAAGAAGTCATTTGTGTTCGCTAGTTCAGAAAATTCTAACAAGATCCTAACTGAACAACTTCAAGCAATAACACACAAATTGAAGTTAATGGCAATTTTGTTTTCCAGTTTTACTAGACCATTTACTTTCCAATTTAATTGCGTTTTCCTATCCAGTAGAAAGCAGATGAAGTCTGCACATACATCAGGAACGGTTTCCACAGCTAGCTGAGACTCTTTTTCGTTTTGAAATATAATGGCCTTGTTTTCTATATTTGAGTGCTCATTAGTGAGGTTTTAGTAAAAACTAGGGCAAACAGTGGCATTAATTTTTAATGAATGAGTCATAGTCTTTTTCCTACCATAGCGAAAAATAAAATAAAGTGACTGTCTTCGATCTAACATGTGATTATTGAGCTAGTTAAAGTGATCTGGAGAACACTAGTCTGAAATTCCTCATAATTTCCCAGGAGCTGTTTTCTTTCTCATTTTGTATGCAAATATCTCTATGTGCCAAATGGTGCAGGTGGGAAAACCTCTTTCATCTGGACTGGCTTTAAAACGTGAAATCTTAGTGAATCTGACTAAAGAGTCACACAGCTTGTCTTGATCACAGAATAATACTTTGTTGCAACAAGAACCTAAATTAATTTGATGGCATTATGATAATGTCCATTTGCCTGTTATATTGAAATGACAAAAGGGTAAAAGTAGTGTTGTTATGAATTATGGTGTTTTATTTGCCTGCATCTTGTCCTGAGGGTACGGAACTGCTATATATCAAATAGCATGTCCAGAGGTGAAGGAAAGGCGTGCTGGAAACAGAAGTCTGGTCATTTTATTGAGAACTGCAGTCAGTGTCCCACATCGCGGGCATTCCTTGGCTCATACACTTTCAAATGATACACGGATCATTTCCTGATAGCCAGAAGACACAATGATGATGATCTGCTCTTAGACGTGTTTCCCACTTGAAGTGTTCCGTGTCTGTCATTTTCTATCCTGCTCCACCTGGACAGGATGTCGCTGGTAGCGAGAACCATGCGGTTCAACGCATAAAACGCAGCCCTTGGTTTTGGGAATCCATGGCCCAAAGCACAGCAGTGTTTTGCACACCTTTTGAGGGTTTTTGAGGGCCAAGGCAAACTCTGGTCCATCTGTTTTGATCTTTTCAGTTTTTTTTTTAATGCTTGAGATCCCTCAAAGTGAACACACAAAAGCAATCCTGTTATTCTAGCAGAGCCATTACGATCGACAAGGAGTGAAGTGTAAATGGCAATGTGCTTCATTTAGTTGAATCAGGATTTCTGTTATCAAACATCTTGACACTGTATGATTTATCATTTTGTCAGGAATTAGCCACTGTTGTAGGTGATTATTAAAGATCACTGGTGTCTAAAGTAAAGGTCCCTTCTTTAAAATAAAAGGCTATATTCTTCTGGGTCCAAGCATATTCGCATTTTAAAGATACTTCTTACACATGTATTCCAGAAATTTTATTTGTATATGCATATGTGTTTAGACCTGCTTTTTTTTTAATAGATGACTTGATTTTTAAGTCTCTTTGGGGACTGAGGTGGTTGACTGTGGTTCACAGATGTGCAAAACACAGCCAGGGCATGTCCAGCAGTGTTGTGTTACATGAAACAGGCCTTATGTCATCTCTTCATGTTTACTATAATTTAAAAATTGGACTGTGTTTTGTCTTTCATTCCTCAGTGTTGCTGGTTGTTGATAACAGAGCTCGTGCTATAAATGCAATTGCAAAACTCAGCACATTTTAAAACAGAATAACCTAGAGTGTTTTTTTTTTTTTTTTTTTGGTATGCAGCTTCATTTAGATAAGTGGTTTGCTTTTATGTGCTAGATGGTTTTCAAAGTAAATTTGTTTTCCACAGACTTTGGGCGATTCCTGAAATGAGTGGTTAATAAATGTCCAGTTGCTAGTGGAGTTTCTTTCCTGTAAGGGTTTTTTTATTAGAAAAGATACTTTTGATGACTGACCTCGTGTATTTAGAAAATATGACCAGCTTCTCTGGTAGTTCTGCTTGTTTAGCAAAAATATTTCTGAGACATTTTTAGAGATTCCAAACTATTGTGCCCCCTTTTCATCCACTAAAATCAAATTATAAACTCTACAAAGTAGATTTATTTCTTGTTCAGAAGGCCATGTTACAATTTGGGGTGGATGCCCAGTGTAGTGGAGAATAGAGTGCAGGAGTAGCCTAAGAGCACATGAGCAGCGAATGAGGAATGTGAAGCAGTGATTGCAAGAGGGGTAAATATGTTTTAAAGTTAATACTTGCATTGCCTTGGATTTGAGCCTTCTGCTGATCTAAACTTTGGGATTGGAAATCACAGCTTGGGACCATTACCAGAGATGAATCCTCTCCCCTTCCCCTCTCCTGCCCGCTCTGTGCACAAAGCAGAAGGCAGCAAATGGTGTCGTAGATCTTTTTACCCCCAAAATGGCTATGTGTGTTGGATCTGGCCTAGGAAGCAAAAATAATCCTTCTGCACGGCTGTGTCCACCACTTTGCACCAAAGTTTACGCCCCGCGTGCTGTACTGGTTCCCCTTGGCGCACTTGGCGTGCATGACGTTAGAGGAAGAGATGGGGTTGCTTTTGTGGGGGCAGCCTTGGGGACTCTGCGTTTCTCTGCCTTTAAGTTTTGAGCTTTTATAGTTTTGTCTTGAGGAGATGAATATTGTGACAGTCAGACAAATGCAAGGAGAGGCAGTAGAAATCCTGTGAAACTTTGATAAGGAAAGTCATTTTAACCCTTCTTTGGCCATTTCCAGCTTCCATAATTATCTTTTGTATATGTATAGCAAACACAAGTACTTCTAGGGAGCATACAATGTTGACCTTTACTCTGGATTTATTAATGAGTTGTATTTCTAGAACATCCATCATCTCTGTTGTTGATCATTTAATTAGTGATAAACAGTTACAGTGCATCAGATACAGATAGCGCCATTTTTAAGTGTAGGTATGGAGTTTTCTTTTGTGTTATCGCTGCAGTTTTATGTTACATTTCTTTCATAACATATTATGGTCTTACAGTCTTTTACCGTGCTTTTATGTTGCATGCTATGGCCAAGGCAGAAGCACCTTCGATGCAGTTTGCAGTTGTATTGCTCTGAACAGCAGTCTCGATTTTGGATTTTAGAAACCTTTGTTCCCCTGACTTTATTATATGTAGCCGTTTTGCTTCCAGCAGCGTAGTTGTATAATCTACTTAAAGCACCATTGTTCTTGAGTTTATAAGATGCTTTTTCTCAGATTTTTTTTTGCCTTTCTTCCCATTTAAAACGGTTCCTCCCACCCTACTGTTTCAAGCTTACTTTTGGAAAACCCCTAATTTTTCAGTCCCAGCAGTTCACATCAGCCACTTTTTAACATCGAGAAATAATTATTCAAACACTCAAATAAAAAGGAAAAAAACAAAAGTTCCGTGGAGGTTGGGGAGCGGATCCACTGTGCAAAACACAATGATAATTAACATTTTATCAGAACAAGGAACACTAAAGAGTTTGTCATGTTTCCTCCTGCTGTTCTCTTACCTTCTCCCTTCAGTTCCTCCACCAGTGTTGTCTTGAGCATCACATGTGCTTTAAACACGGGCTCTGTTTCGGCAGTGAGCCTCTGCGCTCCAGGCGTAGCGGGAAGAACGGCGTCAGGTGGAACGAGCAACTCTTTGGAGTTTGCCAGGACACACGCAGATGAATTTGCCTTCATTCTGTGGCTTTGCATGGACTTTATGCCCATGCTTCTGTAAAAAGGCAGTGATAATTTAGGGCAAAGGCTGAATTTGCTGAAGAAAAATGCTCAGATTACTTTATGGCCCTGTAACCTATCATGATGCAAGTCACTAGCACATTTCTTTTCCAGCAGATACAACTGTTGTGGCCTCTCCAGCTTGTAACCAGAGACTAAAGGCAATGTAAAGATGAGTACTACTCTGTTGCTGCACAATGTAAAGATATCTTAAGTAGTTATGAGTTAGGTCCCTGACTTAGGGTAATATTCGCTCTTAATTGTGCACTGTAGCCAAGCTAATTCAGCAGATAATATACTTCAATACTATTTTCAGTACAGACCTGTCCTGGGAATGGCTTGTTTCATTACTTATTTCCGTACTTGAGAGTCTTCTGGTTTTAAAGACTAGAGTAAATCGATGTATGCCTATAAAACCTCTATTAAAATGACCTTTTCTGAAGTCATTCTATTTATGTTCTATTAAAAAAAAAAGTCATCATCAGTGTCATTATTACAATTACAATATTAACTCAGCTGTGTTTGTATTTTTGCTGCAGGCTGGAAATTAAATCCAGTTGTTGGTGCAGTTTATAGTCCAGAATTCTATGCAGGTAAGGAATATACTGTTGGTGTCAATACTGTATTTTATTTTAATGTTTTTTAAAGTGTGTTAAAAGTACAGAATATGCATTCGGTGGGAGGTTTTGTTTATGTGTTACTGACCGTTTACAGGTTTATAACCTTAGATTACAGTTACCCAGACAATACTAACTTTTGAATAGAAGATATATGAATACTTTTGTGCTGGAAAACAGATAATATAACATGAAATGTACAGCAATATCCTGGTCTTCCATGAGGCTTTGTTTGGTTTATGTATTTCAAAACATTCATTTTTGTTTCAGGAATTATTTAAGCCTAGTGAAAGAAAAAAAAATACTTATAAACCTTTATTATGTGTGTGTGTGTATATATATATATGTATATATATACATTTACATGTACATGCATATATACAGTTGTGTTCCTATTATATTTTTTCTTGAGCATTTTTCTTTAATTTTTATATTTAATCCGTTTCTTAACATTTTTGTATTTATAATCTATTTCATCTCTTCAGTCTTTGCAGAGGCCAAATTCTGATCCTGCTTACAATTTAGAATTAATGAGCTTTAGGCTTTTTCTGTTTGAACTCAAGAGTCCTGACTAACAATGATTTCTAAATGTGCTACAATGATAGCCTTGCAAACAAGGTTGTATCCCAAAACCCAGGTCATCTGTGAAGCGTTTTAGTTGAGCCCATAAAGCACTATGGAGACATAGGCAGGTCATTTTTTGAAAGTTAATAGTTGAAATTTAAGGCAGAAGTAATCATAATGCCCAATTAATTCTAATTAGTACCAAAGTTGTTTTCCCTTGTAGTTTTCTGTATCAAATATGAGTCTCCCATGAGTTTCAGGTGGAACTTTGGATGTTTTTCAATTTTCTATTTGGATCCATTTTTCAGTTGTTTGTGTTTGTGGGTGCCCATAGATGTGTATACTGGATACAAATATCTGTTAATATTTTTAGAGACAAAAAATAGAAGTATTGTCGTACATAAGTAACTGAAAATAAAGAGGTAAACATAAAATATATTCTTCTCAACAAGTTGGAACAAAGGGAATTCCAGACAGATATTAGGAAAACATCTTTCGTCCACAGTGATTAAGCAGTTGAAGAAGTTGCCTGCAGAAGCTGTGAAATCTCCATTCATGGAGACACTCAAATGTCTCTCAGACGAGGCTGAACATGTTGAGGTAGTTCAGGGGACTTCAAGAGAGAAAACTTGTTCCGTGGGAATACTGTAAAAAACCAGTCACAGTGTTAAAGAAGCTGCCTGTAATACATCTAGTGTCATCCAGTATGAATAGATAACAATGATGGAACTGAAGTATTTAATGGAGTCAGAATTTATTTCCTCCTTCTACCTATAAAACAGGAATTTAACATTGATCTACTTTGAGCAGTTAGCCAACCAACCCTGAACTTGCATAAATTAAAGTCAGAGTTATTAGTCATTTTATATAAATGACTTTGTGTTAATGACAAATACAATAATATTCCCATAGTACAGTAATCAATTTTCTAATACGTATGCAGAATTAACAATCTGACTTATAATTGTCTCATGAAGTAGGGCATGAAGAGTTCACATAGTTTGTAAATTAAAATCAATATTTTCAATCTCTCCTGAAGGTAATTTTCCTAATTTACTGGACTTTTCCCTAACATTTATTTTGTCTTTTAATTATAAAATGGCAGGTTATTGATTTTTTTTTTTTTTTTGGTATAACCTCCTATAGTCCCAAGTGCATTTTTATTGCCAACACAAGGGAGGTGTTTGCCCTTCTTAATGAAAATCTTTAATTACCATTAGAAGAATATTAATTTAATTTTATGAATTATGACATTCACTCTACCACAACTATGCAGAAAGTTTTACCAAGGTACTTTCATGCTTTGTTTCAGAATCTTTTCCTAATTGTAAGTGCAGGCACATCAAATACTTAAGCAATAAAAGGCATTTTTTCTACACATATATTTGAATGTTTTTTAAGTGATTTAACTTAAAAAAAAAAAGAAAAAGAAACTGTAAATATTTCTTAAAAATGACAACACAATGTTCGCTTGCAGTTAAAGAATACTTTGGCATATCTTTCCTTAAGGGTCCCTCTCCCTTCCCTGTTACTTGAAGAAATTACACTGCTGATGACTATAAAATTAGAAATATGATTTCAAGATAGTCAAGGTATTAATTATTTGGTTTAATTATGGTTTCCAGAGCTGTTATGTTTAAATTCTTCCAACTACTTCATAGTCAGTGCAAGAAGTTCCTTCAGCTCCTAATAAATGATGAAAAATTTCTCCACTTCTGAAATAAAGATGATACATTTGCAGAGAAACTGTTGATTTAAAGCACCTTTAATCTTCATAAATAAGTAAAAAAACAGAAGGTTATACAAAGCTGTCAGGATGGCACTGATGAATGGCGAATTCACCCGTTTCTCAATTGCCGGTGAAGACGCAGGCTGCAAGGCTTAACCGTATTGTACATCATATCTGCCAACTCATTTCTGTGATTAAATATTCCATCAGTGTGGGCTATAAGGCGGTAAAGCTTAACAAGATTCATAAGATGCACCACTTGAATACACATAACTCACTTCCTTGGATAGAGAGCACCCCGCATGCAAAAGAAAATTAGAATTGAGTTAAATTACTCCGTAAGACAAGATCAATAGGGAAAGGAAAAGATCCCCTAATGCAATGCAAATCTAAGATATAGTTATGTCCTGACAACTTGAAGCAGACAATTAAAGTCAAATAGGGAGAACCGTAATGTAAATCAACTCTAAAACCTTGAAGATAATGGTAAACAGTAGGACCGGTGACATGATTGTTATAGCTCTGTTTCTTTCCTCTGAGTGTACACTTCTATAAAAGAACATCTTTATTAAGAAAATGCATGTCAGGTAAAAATGGACACTTTTTTAGGTAATATTTGCAGCAAACAGACAACAGACATTATGTAAGTAAGTATTTCTCAGGGGCTGGAAAGCAGTATGTCTTCACAGGAATGCTATCGATTTTTAGTACTGAGTAACCCTTCTAAAGCTTTTTTGGGTTTTTTTGGGGCTTTGAAATGGTCATGTCCGTAGTATATTAGAAGATTCCCGAAATGCAGCCATGGGTACAATATGTTTTGGGAAAGTGGCAGGACTGCTGGAGAGTAACAGTGATAGGTTCCTGATTGAAGCCTTCCGTGATGACTCGGAGCAAGGCTCCCTAATGACGTTCGGTTGGGAACACACTACAGAACTGGTGAGGTACATCTACATCCACTGGCAAGTCCTAAAATGACATCCTGTGGAAAGCCACAGGACAGTGTTTCATCACTGATCCATTTCACCGTTGCCCTCAATTCCATTTCTCAATATGGTAATTCACGGGTAATTTTTAAAAATCTGCTTTCTCTTCACATATCATCTCCTTTTAATTAATAAAAGCATAGTGTTTGGAGACAGGTGATTTTCCCTCTCATGAGGAAGGAGCGCTTAATGAAAGTATCACTGCCATTTCAGTATATGGTTTCCAGAGAAAAAAAAAAAAAAAAAGAAAACCTCTCTGATTTATCTCATAAATTCTCCAGGTGAATTGAGCCAAATTATTGCTTTATTTATATATCCATCCAATTTTAAATCCATCCCACAGCGATCCATAATTATGCTATGTTAAGCTGGAGTCTTATCCTCCCCCATATGTTCATATATGATTGGCAAAACAAATGTGCAGATTGGTTTCTCTATTAGGAGTACTGTGGAACTTTCTTACCCTAGTTTTCTTTTTTCTGTAATGTTACACCATATTTTTTATCTGCTCGTTTATTTTAATACTCTGTATAACGTGTGTGTGGTACCTGCTCCTCCTTGCAGCTTGTCCTCATGCTCTGTGAGAACGTAGAAGGCTCTTTCCATCTAACTTCTTTTGAGATTGTTATGTTATTCATCCCATGCTAATTCAGCTTATTCTTTCACATAACTGTATTTCTTCTACAAGCTTTGAAGAGCTGAATTCACTTCATGAGTATGTCTTAAATCAGTGAGGAATACTGTAGGCACTTGCTGTGCGCTCTTCCATGCTCTCTTGGCAAATCCTTCCCAGGAGTTGAAATGATGGGAAGGAGGGGACTTTTTGCCGTGGTCATTTATGTTGTCCCTGGAAGACTGAGCAGTTTTAGGTGCTTTTTTCAACTTTTTTTTTTTTTTTTTTTTTTTTTGCAGTTTCAGGTCTTTTTTATCGTGCTGTGGATTTCAAAGCTGGTGATGTCCTCCAAGATGCAAGTTTTGTCACTAACTTCATCTCACAAGTTTGTTTTAAACTTTACAGCTTAATATCTTTGTAACATATAAAAACGTATATAAACTAAAACAAAAAGCATCCTGAGAGGATCTTCTGTATGTGTACTAACACTAATTCTCTTTGCCTATATCCTGAGGCATCCGTTTCTGCATTGCAAGAGCACCCGGGATTCTTTTTTTTTTTTTTTTTTAAATCTTCCTGGTATTTCTCTTTGAATTTAAATGACTATTGCCTTAGCTCAGCAAATACCTTAGAAACACTTCTCAGTGAAAGTACTTGGAGCCTGTCAAGCTGAATTATATGCTTACACAGTAATTCTAAAACCTAGGGTAAAAGTTCACCATGTCATATCTGTAAAGCATATTTTTTTGGTGAAACTTTACTGTTTGTCACTATATAATTTAGTTTATCTCATAATTCAATTAGGCATGCTTAGATTCAAACTCAGACTTTGATTGCAGTTTATCACAAGTAAATTTATTCTCAACATTATTAACTAAAGAGATTAAATAGTGTTCTATATACAGAAAAAAAAACCCTATTGTTTATTATCCCTTCTTTTAATTATACAAGGAAGTTCATTTTAAAAGCATACAACTAAGCTGTAACTGTTGTTTAAAACAATCATAATGTTGAAATACCGTCATACAAATGGTAACATCCTAGTTAGATTAACAGCACTGATGGTAGTTAATGCATATCTAAAACT